GAGTTTCAGTCTTCTTCAGCTGTACGACTTCTATTTGATACTTTATCATATTTTCTGTCTCTGTAATTCTCACATTGTTCTTACATTGCTATTCTGATTATAAATTGCATGTCTCCATTTGACTGGGTTTGATTTGTGGATATTTATCTAGCTCTTGTTTATCAATATCTGTGGTTCTTTCTCAGTAAAATTGTGTATAATATTGCTATCTCTTTATCTTGCTTAGGTTTGTGTGGTTTATTTAGTTACCAGATTTTTTCACTGAAAGATTTTTTTATTTTCTATTTACTTTAATAGAAAATGGATTAATTATTTTTAAAATGTTGATTCCTAAATAAATGTAGGCATGCTATTGGGTAGAAAAGAAACGTAAAACAGTCTTTTATGCACCACATAAGGCACATACCTACAGTGTTGTAGTAAGCTGCTAGTTTTGACTCCACAGTGTCAGAACCAGGGTCTCTGGGATTCTCTGGCCTTTCTGCAATGACCGAAAAGATGTTGCTGCTGCCCCAGCAGCATGTATAAGGCAGGAGGAAGATCAGAAGAAACAGCAGCAGCTAAGTCTGTCCCTTCTCTTAGGAAAAGAAAGGTTTCCAGCCTAGATCTACCAGTATTTTGCTTTTCTTGGCCTGAGGCAGGTCACTTGGCCAGTAACAGCTTCAGAAGATGATAACAAAGTGACTAAGCAGTTAGAGATGAGTACTGGAATTGTATATTGGTTCAGCAAGCCAACAGTGTTTACCACTGTGAACGTGGCTATCCATGTTCAAGAAAACAAAGGAAAGAAATGAATCATTTTCCCAGAAGATGTACAGGTTATACAAAAGAAGACTATAATCTTACCATATGTGAAGCTTAAGTAAAATTAGAAATTCATAAACTGTAAAAGAACGTACAGAGCCAGTAAGTGGCATGGTGGTTAGGGTGCTGGATTCCCACATAGCTAACCTTGGTTCAAGTCCCAGACCCAGCAGTTTGAAAATCATATGGGGCATGTATGCATGCACAGCCAAAATCCTGGGAGAATAGAGTAGAAGGAATTACAGTGTGGCCATCCCTCCTGGGGATTGATTTCTCACTTTACCTCTCTCTGTCTTTCTCTCTCTGGAAAGCACACACACCCTATGGCAAAAACCTAAAAATAAATAGCAGAAAAACCCTTCCAATAAATAAATAAATAAATAAAATACATACCTAAACATGTAAAAAGTAAAATTATGTGGAATGGAAAATATCATATGCAAAAATGAGACAAAGAGTAGATGTTTTCTATAAAGAAGTTACTACTTTTAACACAAAAAGATATTACTATATCAAATTACAAAAAAGTGTATGGGTTTGTTTCTAGGTTTTCTATTCTGTCCTTTTTAAAAAATAAATTGATGTGTTCTTATTTTTTTTAATTTTTTTCACATTATTTATTATTTGTTTTTTGTATATACTTTCAATCATATTGTTTGACTTACAATGAGACCATTTCGATATGTGCACATTTCTCCCCAGACCCGTTGATCAAAATATCTTTAACAGATAACACCACACCTCCCCATCCCATCAATGCTCTACCTCTGTATCCCTTCTCCAAATGTCTTTCATCAGGCCCCACTCCTCCACATATACCTCATCTAATATTCACACCCATCTCTTGTGTTTGTTCAACCGTTAATCAATCAGTTTCAGTCATAGAATGCAGACAAAAGATATTACAGGATCAGTTAATGGTATGGTGATTATGGCAGCTAGATCCCATGTAGCCAACTGTGAGATTCAAGTCCTACACTCAGCAGCTTGAAAAATATGCTGGGTATATAAGTGTACATGCCCCAAATCCCGAAAGGAGTGAGAAATGGAGGAGTAGAGATTGAAGCTTGATCATCTTGAATGGGGTGGTGCTCTCTCACTTTTCTTCTCTGTCTCTCTCCATCAAGCACACATACCCTCTAGCAAGTTTTAAAAATTTTACAAATTGATAAAACAATAAAAAAAATGAAAAACTGGTTTATAAAGGCAATTTACAGAACAACAAATTCAAGTGGCCAGGAAACATTTAGAGAGGCATATTAATAAGGAAATTAAATTAGTTATCATTTTAAACTCATTAAACTTCTCAAGGTAAAAGGTAATAGCTACTTTTAGTGAGGACAAGGTATACATTTATATACCAATGTTGGAAATCTGAAATGCTATTGTCTTATTACTACAAAGAAATCTGACAACATCTTTTTTTAAAAGAATTATTTTGACTTTATTTATTTATTTATTTTAATTTGACCAGAGAGAGACAGAAAGAGAGAGAGAGAGAGAAAGTAAGCCACCAGGTCTGGGACTCAAACCACAGTTGGTCATGTGGGAGTTCAGTCCCCTTAAGGACCATGCCACCTGCTAGCGCCTAGTATCTATTAAAATAAGAAAACACACGTAATTCAAACAATCAATCACATTTCTAGAAACATTCTACAGAAAAAAAAATCTTCAATCATTTAAGGGTGTGTTTACACCTGTCTAATAATTCACTTCTCCAATAATACCTCTTGAGAATGGTTATAAAATCATGTTTCCTGGTGACAAAGAAAATGTGAATATCCAGTGGAAAATGGTAACAGAAATATGCCCATACCATGGACTCTTTCAACTATTTAAAAGTTATCATGGGCCTAGTTGCTGTGGTTCACACTGCTAAGTGACTACACAGAAGTCCAGGTTCAATTCTAGGTCCAACCTGAGTGCATGTGCAGAGGTGTGTGCTATAATCCCAGCAACTCAGGAGGTGGAGGCCAAAGGATCATGAGCTTGGGCTGGCCTGGGCAACACACAGACCCTGTTTAAAAGCGACCCAGGCAGAGGGGCACACACCTATGTTCCACTGGAAGGTGGAGGGAAGAGGCTCACAATAGCAAGACTTTCTCTTAAAAACAAAAAGTTATTGTTGAGTACAAAAGACAAAAAAAATGTGTATATAATCCCATTTATGTAACACACGTGTACCTATATAATAATGTGTCTATATGTGACTGTGAATATAAACAAAAATATAAGGTTGATTAGCATCAGTTTTCTGTTAACAGATGACTGGTGTGGATAGGGCTGCTGTGAGAGTGAAGGAAAAACAAAAATCAAAAAGAGATCAACTATACTGCTGATTGAGCATCCTTAATTCAAAATTCAAGACCCCAAACCTGAAATGCTCAAAATCTAAACTTTTTGAACACCAACATGATGTCACAAATAGAAAATTCTACACTTGAACTTATGTGACAGGTTGTAGTCAAAATGCTGCAATAAAAAATAGTATATAAAATTACTTTCAGGCTCTATGTGTAAGTATAATATGAAACACAAATGAATTTCGTGCTTAGACTTGGGTTTTATTCCCAAGATATCTCATTATGTATATGCAAATATTCCAAAATCTGAAAAAAAAATCTGAAATCCAAAACATTTATGACTCCAACTATTTTGAATAAGGGATACTCAACCTGTACAAAAGTCACATCTATATAAAATCTTTTGTGTGTGCACATAAGTATATGTATGTTTAAACTTTTTTTTTTAGTTAAAAGAAAGGCAAATGTTGAACTGGTCTATTTGTCATCACTTATTTTATATACACAGATCTGATATTATTGGGACATTGAAAAAGTCATGGTGCATTTTTGCATAGAAAATGCAGAAATTTGCCTAGAAAAATGTGTCATGACTTTTCCAATGACCCAATAAATCAATTAACAAAATGAATTCTATGTCTTGTAGAATTTGCTCCTGTAGGAAGACTTTTCCCAGCATATTAAGAGTTTCTTCCCCATATCTACTTCATGGCAATTAATAAAATAATGTACTCGTAGAAAGCATTCTTTTCAATTTTTGAACTGATGTTCAATAAGGTACAACTCATGGACAAAGGTTTTTGCCATTTACAAATCATAGACAATAATCATAGGGCTTCTCTGAGTACTTTACAATTGGTGCTGACGTGTTAGAAGTCTTACTTTCAGGAAATACACTGTCTCACTTGTGCCAATACAAAAGAATACTAGAGACTGACTACTGTGTGAAACTATTCTCTCATTAAGTGCTTATATATTGTCTCTCATCAGTAGAAATTATCTGATAAATTCCAGTTGAGGGGGTTTCCAGTCACTGCTTTTATAGGTTTTCTCTCCAAAATGAATTTCTGGTGCCTAAAGAGATCTGAACTGTGATTTTTAAATCATGTGTGAGTTTGGTGATATTCAGGTACCTTGAGTTTTCAAAGGATTTTCTATGGTCACTATTCATCAAGGTTTTCTCTAGCAAAGATTCTCTAATATGTAATGAAGTATGACTTGTGAATAAAACCTTACCCACATTCAAGATAAACAGAAAATTACTATCTCTTATGAAGTATCTGATGTATAATTGTTGGTTTGAATGAATATAAAAACAATGACTCAAAATACATAAAGCAAAAATTTGCTCTAAAAGAGAGACACATTTGCAGTTATTCTAGAAGACTATCACACACTTCTTTCGGTATCTGATAGAATAAAACACAAAAAAAAGTCTATTAGACTATAGAGGATTTGAAAAATACAAGAAAGATTCATTCGTAGGATTGGGGAGGGGATCAGGTATATTCTTTCAAATGTCCAAGTATATTTTATCTCCTAAGAAAAAAATATATAAATGCAAGAAAATTGTGCTTCATGGTTATTTAACATGTACTAATAAATCTGGAAGGAAAAATTCTGGGTTTTAAAAACCCACTTTGTTTTAAATTCTTTTTTTGCCATAGGGTATGCGTGTTCACTGAAGAGATAGAGTCAATGAGACGTAAAGTGAGAAATCAACTACCCCACCAAGGGGGATGCAATCCCTTCTCCTCCATTCTTCTCTTGGGATTCTGGGCACACACACACACACAACACACACACACACACCCAGCATAAGTTTTAAGTCTGGGACTCGAACCATGGTTGGCATGTGGCCCTTAACCACCACACCTTCTGCTGGCCCTTAAAACCCATTTTCTTAATTTGCTCCTTTTTCAAATAGGAATCAGGAAAAAAAAAATTGCCAGTTTTTGTGGACGAAGCTGAGGATCTAAAAGAGCTGTCACCTAGGTCCTGGTCCCTGTAGCTGACTTCCATCTTCTGAAGGCCAACTCAAAGGTAACATGTAGTTAGGGGCTGCTGTGCACATCATTGATCACTTCTAGGACACAGGCTAGTAGTTATTTTAGACCTCTTTGGGATCTACTGCCACAGCATTACACCAATTCATTCTATAAAGAATAGATGACAGTGACTTAACAAAAATCCTTTGTGTCTAGTGCCCATTTGCACAAAAACTTCTGGTTCCTTTTCATTATAGACTATAATTTCCTACCTTCTGCCTTGATTTCAGTGTCCTCAGGGTGCTTAGAGAACAAAAAAAAATTTCTCACCACACTACTAGTTATGAACTAAGTCAATACTGAATAGTTTTGCTACCCAGGGCAGGAAACCCCAACATCCTTGTATCTGTACAGCAGCTTACTCCAAAAGGGAGACAAGACAGATTGCAAGTTGTTTTCCTGAATATCCATTGTGACTTGCAGGGGACTGACAGCTCCTGCGTCAGGAAGTAACTGAGCAGGGCCAGTACAAGCTGCTCAGAAACTTTTCTCCAAAGTACCCACAGAAGTGGGGCTGGACATGGGCTTTGTGAACCAGCTATTCCTTATTCTGAGAGAGAGAAGAAAGTTGTATTTGGCTACTTCCTGTTTCTCAGGCAAGCTGCACCCTCACCTGTGTGTCTCCAAGTTACGGTTGTGGCACTGGGTATTATACATCTCCACTATCAGTTTTCTGCTGTATACTGAGTTGTGGCCTCCAGTTTAAGGCTTTTTCAAAGTCGCAACATTCATAGGGTCTCTGTTTAGCATGAATCTTCTGATGTTTAATAAGATTTGACTTGATGGTGAAGGCCTTTCCACACTCAGCACATGTATGCAGCTTCTCTCCTGTGTGAATTTGATGATGCTCATGAAGCTGTGACTTCTTAATGAATGACTTCCCACAGTCACTGCACCCATAGGGTTTCTCTCCGGTATGAATTCTCTTATGTCTATTTAAGTGTGATTTCTGGATAAAGCACTTCCCACATTCAGTGCAAATATAGGGTTTTTCTCCTGTGTGAATTCTCTGATGCATAATCAGTGTTGATTTCCTTGCAAAAGCTTTTCCACACTCACTGCACTCAAAATGTCTTTCTCCAGTATGGGATTGTTGATGGATATGGAGGCCTGACTTCCGAGTGAAGGCTTTCCCACAGTCAGTACATTTATAGGGTTTCTCACCAGTGTGTATTTTCTGATGTGTAAAGAGATTGGATCTGTCAGTGAAGGCCTTTCCACATTCAACACAACTGTAGGGCTTCTCTCCTGTGTGAATCTGCTGATGCACATGGAGTTGTGATTTCTTAGTGAAAGATTTCCCACAGTTACTGCATTCATAGGGCTTCTCTCCAGTATGAATTCTTTCATGTGTAATAAAATGTGACTTGTGGAAGAAAGCCTTCCCGCATTCAGTGCAAACATAGGGTTTCTCTCCTCTGTGAATTCTCTGGTGCATACTTAATGTTGATTTCTGGATAAAGGCTTTCCCACATTCACAGCACTCATAATGTCTCTCTCCAGTATGGCACTTCTGATGTATCCTGAGCCGTGACTTCCAGGTGAATGATTTTCCACAATCACTGCATTTATAGGGTTTCTCTCCAGTATGAATTTTTTGGTGTTTAATGAGATTTGACCTGTCAGTAAAGGCCTTCCCACATTCAGTACATATGTAGGGTCTCTCTCCAGTATGAATCTTTTGGTGAATAATGAGATTCGTCTTGTGAGTGAAGAACTTTCCACATTCTGAGCATATAAAGGGATTCTCTCCAGTGTGAATTCGCTGATGCACATGGAGTTGTGACTTTTTTATAAAGGATTTACCACAGTCACTGCATTCATAGGGTTTCTCTCCAGTGTGAATTCTTTCATGTGTAATAAAATGTGACTTACGGATAAAGGCCTTCCCACATTCGGCACATACATAAGGTTTTTCTCCTGTATGAATTTTCTGATGCATACTTAGTGTTGACTTCCTCGTGAAGGTTTTTCCACACTCCGTACATTCAAAGTGTTTCTCTGTAGTATGATTGTTTTTATGGATATTGAGGTTTAGATTCTGAGAACAGTTCTCACTTTCGCTATATTCATAGGGTTTTCCTTTAGTATGAATCCTCTGACATCTGAACAGATCTGACTTCTGGATAAAGGCTCTTCCATATTCACTGCATTTAGAGTAACTGTCTTCATTATGAGACATGTTTGATTTGGGGGAACAACCCTTCCCATACTGCATGCCTCTCTGTGGTTTCTCTCCCAGATAAACCCTCTGATCTACAGTAAGTTGGGGCTTCTGGAAGGCTGTCTCACATTTGCTGCATTCTTGTTTTTCTACAGTACAAAGACTCTGATGTGCAAAAAGTTGAGACTTCTGGATGAAAACTTTTACATATTCAGAAAACAAATATAGGTTCTCTCTTGTGTGCATTTTCTGATGTTGAATGAGAACTTGCTTATGGGTCAGAAGTTTCCTACATTGAGTACATTCACAAGCATTCACTTCTGTATGAGAATTCAAATGAGTAAAAACATCACTGTAACTTATAACCTTATCAAGATTTTCTGTTGCATTTTTTCTATTGTAATTACATAAGCTTATAACAGGTTTGAAACTAATTTCAAACAAGTCATAGTTACGTAGTCTTTTTCTGGAAGGAACCAGGTCTAGATCTACAGGAACCATTTTTCTGATGTCCTTATATTCACAACCTCTCTCATTAACTAGTGTTTGCTTGCTGATGAAGGCCACATGGCTTAAAAGTCTGCTCCAGTTTTCCTCGTAGTTCCCTGTTTCTTCACCAACCTTCCACAATTTTTCTAAAATGAAATATGAGTCATCTCTCATGAAGAGATTAATTCTCTCAGACTGAAAAGAAACTTCTTCAGACAGTCCCTGTTGTGAAGTTTCAAAACCAAAATCTCCACCTAAAAAAGAAAAGATAAAACTGACCAAAAATAACAGAAGGTAGAAGGATTGACACATAGAGTTCATTCAGGATGAACATAGAGAAATAGGAGAGACTCTATATAAATATAGCAAATACATATAAATATGTAAAATATATCTACATTATAGAAGTGTAACAACCTATTTAACCTATGTAATATACAATACAATAATTTAGAATAATAAAACTAACACTTATAGAACACTTACCATATAATACATTGGAAATAACATTTAGATGTACTGTTATAAGTTCTTTATAAACTCATTTAAACTCTGCCGCAGCATTTGCTGTTGGTATTATTACTTTCCCTGTTATACAGATGAGGAAACTGAGCCACAGAAGAATGTTTAGTAGATCAAATGTTTAGTAATTGGGGAAGAAGAGATCCAAGCCCAAGCAAATCAGTCCTGCCTATGTAGAACTAGTCAGTAAGTTAGGTGTCAGAGAACAAAGAACAAATTCTGTGGCTTTAAATAAGTGTTTCTGAGTCTAGATTCTTTTTTCAAGCATTTTAAACTTTCATTTCTTTCCTTCTTGTTAGAGAGAGAAAGAGTACCTACATTCTATAGGATCTTGTCAGGCTGTAATCTTTCCCCCAGTCTTCTGACCAGCCAGGATCACAGAAGCACACAGGTGTGCCCAGGATGCTTTGGTCAAACCAGAACCTGAACCTGGGCTTCCCATATGGCTCCAGCATGCAGTGGTGGCCTGCCACCTGTACCACTGCAGCTGGGTCTCAGTCAAAGTGCTTATTTTCCTTCATCTGTAAATCCCTTCATCTCCCTGTTCTCTATTCCTTAGTCATCACTGTGCCCTGAATACCAATTTATGTTCATATTAAAACAGTGACAGCCTCAGATATCCTGACTCAGCCAAACCATAAGGGAGATGCCTATGATTCGATTCTTTGTCCCTCTTGTGTTGTACAGAGACACATATCAAACAGAAAACACTAACAGGAAGCTGTTAAGTATGTCACATTCCTTCACAGTTTAAGCTGGGAGCCCTGCACACCTGACACAGAACACTAGGTTTGTCATCAGGTAGAATGAAGGAACTCAGTTCTCACCAAGCATAGGGAAGTAAAAACTATTCTTGTTGTAACAAAGCCAATAGCTTAAGGAAAAGGATGTGTCTTCCACCAACCCTTAGTCTTCCCACCAGTATATCCCAGACAGGGCAACTCACCCCATGAAGAGCTACCCACTAACCCACCACAGGTCTAAGTTGCTAGCAGTGCCTTAAGGCATTGATCAACATCGATCAGTCAACCTCAATCAATTGAAAACCACAGCTCCTCAGGCCAAATCCAGGCCTCTACCCAAAAGCTAAGGATGGATTTTTACTTTTTTTTTTTTTTGGAGAGGTTTTTGCTATAGGACGCATGAGCTCGCCAGACAGACAGAGAGAGACAGAGAAAGACAGAGAGATAGAAAGCAGGAAATCACCCTGCGGGGGGGATGGCCACGCCGCAATCCCTTCTCCTCCATTCTCCTCTCGGGATCTTGGGCACGCACGCACCCGCGCCCGGCGTGAGTTTAAGCCACTGGGGCCGGGACTCGAACTGCGGTCGACCACGTGGGAGTCCAGCGACATAGCCATTACGCTAACTGCTGGTCCCGATTTTTACATTTTTTTAAAGAATTATTTTATTTATTTAAATTTAACCAGAGAGGGACATAGTGAGAGAGAGGGAGAGAGAGAGTAAACAAGCTGCCAGGTCTGGGACTCAAACCAGTCAGCCATGTGGGAGTCCAGTCTCCTTAACCACCACGGTACCTGCTGGCCTCAGATTTTACATTTTAAATGGCTGACAAAAGTCAAAAGAGGAATACTTCATGATGTGAAAGTTATATGAAATTCGATGTCCAAAAGTTACTATTGGACATAGTCACAATGATTCAGTGATGTCCTGTTTATCACTGCTTTGGGACTACAACAGCATAATGAGTAATCATGTCAGCAAACAAAATAACAGCAGGATGAGTAGTTCTGTCAGAAAACACACAATCCACAAAACTCTACTTACTCTGGGGCCTTTGAGGACAAGTTTGTCAATCCCTTCCCTAAGGGATGGTGGTGCAGAAACTGTTCCAGAATGGCCGTCAAAGAAAGCTGTCTTGCCAACTTGGCCCACTCACTGCAGAACCATGTTGTTTCTTGGGGTCCCTTAGTTACTAGAGCTTGGCTTTAATATACCATTCTTGCCCAGAATGATACTCATTTAAACTAAAAATTTTGTAATAGAATATAAAGATACAGTAGATTCTCGATGAATATTTATGTAAAAATTCAATTATATTATTTTATAGACTTCTTGAATATAGACACAGTCTGACCATACATCCATATTATGCTGTCTCTAGAGCTGATCAAGTCACCAGACATGCTCTTTAACTTCCATCACACTTTTTTTACTCACATATATTAATGGGTTTATTAGATGAAGAAAAATCAATGGAAATTGTAATGAGTCCAATTAAAGAAACAAGTAAAACTGACCACAACGTGTAAGTATGTGTGTTATTTGAATTAGCAGATGGATCATGAAATGATCAGAGTCAGGCGCAGGGGAATAAGAAAGAAAATGTCAAAATGGAATAGACAAGGTTATAGAAACTAGACACAAACAAATATGAACTACAAATATGAGGCCATGATCTTTCTTTAGCTTATAAACCCATAGAGGGGAGACTCAGGTGTTAGATAATCCTTACCTAGTTTTGTTCCAAATAGCTATGTAGGAAAAACATAGTGCTCAGTGTTTTAAACAATGAAATCTATCAGTAGCATCTAAGATGAACTAGTTTTTGCTTTTTTTTTTTTCTTGTTAGGTTTGGTTTTGTTTTTAAAAAAGGATTGCTTATAGACTGGAAGCAGAGAACTTAGTTCTCTTTCCCACTATACAAGATAGCAGGTGAAAAAGCTGTGAAGCAGGATACTAAGGAGAAGAAACCCAAAGCCAAGAAAGCAGATGCCAGTGAAAAGGTTAAAAAGGGTTCCCCCTAGGCTAAAAAGCCCAGGAAGAGGGAACCCCACTGCAACTGAAACCCAGTCCTAGTCCAGGCAAATGGCAGATACTCCCAATCTGCCATGTATTCCAGGAAGGCCATGTATAAGGGGAAATAGCCACGAAATTCAGGATTGAAAAGGAAAAGAAGGAGGAGGTTCTTGCCACTCACGAAACCAGTTGGTGGTGACAAAAATGTTGGTACCTTGTGGGTAAACTTCACAAAATGCTAGGTATTATCCTACTGAAGATGTGCCTTGAAAACTGTTGAGCTATGGCAAAAAAACAAACAAACAAACAAACTTCTTCAGTTAGCATGTGAGAAAACTGCAAGCTAGCATCACCCCTGGAACCATTCTGATCATCCTCACTGGATGCCTACAAAGACAAGAGAGTAGTATTCCTGAAGCAGCTGAGCTGTGGCTTGCAACTTCTGACTGGACCTCCTCAATAGAGTTCCACTATGTAGAACACACCAGAAATTTGTCATACCACCTCCATGAAAATTGGTATTAGCAAAGTAAAAATCCCAAAAGAACCTCACTGATGCTTACTTCAAGAAAAAGAAGCTACTGGGACCAGCAGTTATTGTAATGGCTATGTCACTGGACTCCCATGTAGTCGACCGCGGTTCTGGACTCCCACGTAGTCGACCGCGGGTCGCATCCCGGCCCCAGTAGCTTAAAACTCACGCTGGGCATGTGTGTGTGCATGCCCAAGATCCCGAGAGGAGAATGGAGGAGAAGGGATTGCAGCGTGGCCATCCCCCCTCGGGGGTTATTTCTCACTTTCTGTCTCTCTGGCTCTCTGTTCCTCCATCTGTCGGGCGAGCACACACACCCTATGGCAAAAACCTCTCAAAAAAAAAAAGAGAAAGAAAGAAAGAAAGGAAGAAAGCAAGAAAGAAAGAAAGAAAGAAAAAAGAAGCTACAGAAGCCCAGTTACCCAGAAGGTGAGATCTTCAACACAGAGAAGAAATACAAGATGACAGAGTAGCACAAAGTTGATCAGAAAGTTGTGGACTCACAAATTTTACCAAAAATCAAAGCTGTTCCTCAGCTCCAGGGCTACTTGTGATCTGTGTTTGCCCTTACAAATGGAGTTTATCCTTACAAATTGGTGTTCTAAATTTCTTGCCAAGAACTTAATTAAATAACCGAATGGATCAGGGCCAGTGTGGTAGTTAAGGTGCTAGACTTTCACATGACTGACTGCAGTTCAAATCCCAGAGCTAGCAACTTGCTTTCTGTCTCTCTCTCTTTCCGTGTGTCTCTCTAGTGAGCACACACACCCTGTAGCAATTTTTTAAAATGATGTTATAAATTTAAAATAAATTGTAATTTTTTATAAAAAAAAAAAAGAATCAGCACAGCTACACAGGGATAGAATTGTTAGTCATGGGAAATATACATCTGGATCTAGGTGGTATTACTGGAAATTAGAAGAGGGGACATTTAGGGCTAGCAGGTGGCATGATGGTTAAAGCACTGGACTCCCACATGGTCAACTGTGGTTTGAGTCCTGGACCTGATGGCTTGAAATCATGCCGGGTGAATGTGCATGTATGCCCCAAATCCCAGGAGATTGGAGAAGAGATTGCAGTGTGGTCATACCCCCAGGGGTGATTTCTCACTTTCTCTCTCACTGTCTCTGCCTCTCTCCAGTGAGTGCACATGCCCTATGGTAAAAACAAAAACAAAAACAAAACAAGAAAAAAAAAGAAGGATGAATTCATATTGTGTTTTCTAAAAGAAAAATCAGAAGAACAGAATGAACTGTTTGAGAAGGCAGATCAGAGGGAAAAACCACAATGGAATATGACAAGATTGTAGAAGGAGAGCCATGGCTTTAGCATGCTACTTTGTATCTTGTCTTCCTTCACACAAGCAGCAACTGTGGAACTTTATGTGCATGAGATATTGGCCTTTCCCAAAGTGCTATATAAAGCAGAGGCCAACACTGAC